GCATCATACTTATCAGGAAACTTAATGTGCTTAGCCCTTTACCTATAATAGCCAATTAATCCTCATGGCACCCCAGTGAAGCTGGTATTCTCAATCTCTTTTAGAGATAAAGAACCTGAGGGTCAAAGGTATTTAAGAATGATCAAACAGTGCTTCCCTCTTCAATTCTCTAGCTGTGCAAAACAAAACAAGATGATTATATGAACACTTAAATATTAAAGCCATTTCTTTAATAAATTAAAAATAAAATCAGTGAATCAGAAGTACTTCTCTCGCCACTGAGCTCTGCAGATAGCAATTGAAATGTTGCTACTTCAGTAGTTTTAAAGCGGCCATGAAATATGTCTTGGGAAAAAATGGTGGCTAAAACCATGAATATATTTATTTTATTCTAATTGAAATCTTTTTTCAAGGACAAATATAAAGATTTTTACTTACTTTTAAGTGGTAAGTGCATAATAGCAAAATAGGAAAAAGAAAACAAATTGAGAATCATAATGATAAATGCGAATGAAAAAAATGAAAAATACGGGGGGCGCCTGGGTGGCTCAGTCGTTAAGCGTCTGCCTTCCGCTCGGGTCATGATCCCAGAGTCCTGGGATCGAGCCCCGCATCGGGCTCCCTGCTCCGCGGGAAGCCTGCTTCTCCCTCTCCCACTCCCCCTGCTTGTGTTCCCTCTCTCGCTGTGTTTCTCTGTCAAACAAATAAATAAAATCTTAAAAAAAGAAAAAAGAAAAAGAAAAAAATGAAAAATATGGAAGCTGTGTAATATTTTTCCAGTCTACATGATTTTTGAAATTTCTTTGGAAGGGTGTTTTGAAAGGTCCAAATGCAAGACATGACAATGACTATGTTATTGCCTTTCTTTATCAAAACATCCTTTTTAGTGCCTAGTTTTTACTTAACAGAAAATATTTTTTTGTATCAGATATGTTATTCTTAAATTACTTTAATGCAAAATATGGTGTAATGTTAATGCATGCTATAAACTCCTAGTACATATTTAAATATATCTTCCAAATATATACTGTTTCGCATATAGAAATAACTAACATTATATTGACTAAGTGCTAATGCTTACAATACCCCAGTGTATGCCTAATGCTAATGATAGCCCATTAGCACCGCTAATGTCTAAATTGCAGTCTCAAAAACCCCTGTCCCACTAGAAGGAAGCAAGACCCTTTAGCGAAAGGGCCAAGTGTAGGTCTGGAATAGGAAATTTACAAAATGAGCCTGGGACATCTCATGCCAAAATGCAAGGATATTATCAAAGAATATTGGGATCATCTCAAAAAGCTACAGTATTCAATGACTGGAGCATTAAAAAAGAACAATGATTACAATACACTAAAACAGAAGGTAAATTTAACCGTGCAATTCAATAAAAGGTTGACAATTATCCAAAAAACAAATGTCTGGAATGAATGAACAGGCAATTTACAAAACAGGAAATATAAAAGGGGATACAAATATTAAAATATGTTCAATCTCCATAATAATCAGGAAATACAAATTAAAAATATTAAGACATCATTTCTTTGCCCATCAGATTGGCAAATCTTTTAAAGTTTGATTATATCAAGTAGTGACAATAGAGGGGAAAAACAGGAAATGTTGGAAGTTCAAACTGGTAAGGTTTTTTTTTTTTGACTGGGCAATCTGGCAGTAACAATTTTCATTTTAAATGTGCATACTCTCTGGCCCAACAATTCTACTTTCCTATACTTAACCTTAAAGAAAGCCTTGCACATACTTTTAAGGAGGCATCTATAACGGTGACTGGCTATACTGTTTTTAATTGTGAAAAAGTTACATAAATTTTATCAATGGGGGATTGGATGTGTATGAGTCAGTTCAAAAGAATAACTTGGGGATATCTTCAAGCTATACTGGCAAGTTAAAAAAAAGTCATGGTGAAAAATATATACTGTGATGTTATATATATTTAAAGACCCACAAAATTATTTCATTCCAGATGTCATATATATATCATGCTAGAGGGAAATAGGATGACCTTTTCCTTTATCTGTATTTTTTATACGATAAACACAACAAAGTATTCTTTATTTTATAATTTTTGAATGTTAGGAAAATAATCCTTCAATAAATCCTCCAAAGTGGTTGTTTATGGCCCGAGTTTACAGATGAGGAAACAGGGCTCAGAAATAATAGCTGACTTGTCCAAGGTTAAACAATAGAAGTAAAAAATCTGGCTGATCTCAGGCCTTTTATGCAGATGCTTTTCTCTAGATCACAAGTCAAAATGACCTTGTATTTTGTACTGGTCAAAACTTTTCTAAGGAGATATCTAGGTTGGAAACAGAAACGTGGGAGCAATAAGTATTTGCCAACTGATACCATGGAAGTACACTGAGGAGATTGTGGATTGTGCAGGCTCAGAACAGAATCCTGAGAAGCAGCAACATTTAATGGATGAACACAGTTAAGGAACCCTATAAGAAAGTCCAAGAAGAAATTGCTACACAATCAGAAGGAGAGGGTGAAGAACTCAAACACAGAGAGCACTTCTATAAGAAGGAAGTGGTCACCAGTGGCATATACTGCAAAGAAGTCAAGAGAGCTTTGAAGTATCATTTGGATTTGGTAACATAGTCATCTGGTGACTTCGGCAAGAGAGTCTCAGTGAATAGGAGAAGCAGAAACCAGAATGCAGAGGGATGAAGCATGAAGAAGACAGGAGAATTTAATAGTATGGTAGATACTCAGAAATTTAAACATAGAATCATGATATGATCCAGCAATAAAGAATACTTAAGTCCAGCAATTTCTATTTATTGGTTATATACCCAAAAAGAATATAACCCAAAGAATTGAAAGCAGAGACTCAAACAGATTATTTGTACACCCATGTTCTTAGCAGGATTATTCACAATAGCCAAAGGTAGAAGCAAACACAAATGTCCATCAAAGAATGAATAGATAAATAATATGTGGCATATACATATAATGGAATATTATTCAGCCTGAAAAGGAAGAAGATTCTCAACACATGCTGTGACCTGGGATGCACCTAAGTAAAAGAAGCCAGCTACGAGGACGAATGTTCTATGAGTCTACTTGTATGAGGTACCTAGAGAAGGCAAATTCATAGAGACAAAGTAGAAAAAGTGACTGCCAGGGACTGGGTGGCGGTGGGAGGAGACGAGGAATGGGAAGTTATTATTATTAATGAGTATAAAGTTTCAGTTTGGGAGGATGAAAAGATCTAGAGATGAGTGGTGGTGATGGTTGTACAATAATGTGCATATACTTAATGTCTCTGGACTATACACATAAAATGATAAAATTGTCAATTTTATTTTATGTACATTCTAGTGCACACTCACAAACACGTGTGCACATGCACATACACATATGCACACACACACACACCAGCTATGAGGACTTGGAGGAAGTCAATGAAGACAACTTTTTCAAATGGGAAAGTCATAGGGCAGGTCAAAGGGGAACTGTCTAAGACGGAGGACCCTTGAGCATATTCACCAGCCTGGACAGGATCATTGGAGACACGGAGATACACATCCACCATCCTGGTGAAAGGGACACAAATACTGAGCCAGCACATTAAAACCATCTACTGATACCCAGCACTGCGCTTCCGGTAGTGAGCCTGGGTCTTTGATGGGCGGATGGACCTCGTGGTTTATAACGGAAGTCAAATACGGTCATATTTAAAATTTTTCAAAACACATAGAATCTAAGCGATGTTAATCACATTAATAACTTTTTCTTCAAGGATTTTCTTATAAGTATCTAGTAAAGAATTCCAATCTGATTTTACACTGAGGATGCTCTGGTGTTCTGCTGTTGTGGTGGCAGTATTGTTTGTTCATTTATTTTTCCTTCCTGCCAATTCACATCACGTAGGAGTTTAGGTGGAAGGGAAAAATGCTTCCATTTTTCATTATCCCCTAATTGCTCTTTATTGCCCCTTCGAAAATATGGTTAAGTAAAAAGCAGAGTGTGATACCCTGGGAGCATGATAGTTTCCAAAGTCCAGAAAGTGGTTCTTGCAGTGTGTGGAGGTTTGCATAATTCCTGTTATTCTTGCAACCCACTCCACACCCCCCTTCCCTTCCCCAACAGCAAGGGAGGGTGAGAGGGACGGCCACATACAAGTTGCCACTGTTATCTGCTTCTGCTATTCAGTAACCTGGGAGAAGTATATATATGAGTAGTTCCTTCTATTTGAGGTTGGCAATAGCGTTGGCTTCGATCAACTGTTTTTGTGTTCTTTTTCTACCATTGTCCCTACTGTCCCATAAATATTTTCAATTAGTGCTCCAGCCTGTTAGAAACCTAACCAGTTATGTTCAGCAGTGCAGGACCTGCACCTGTTTTTTATTCTTGTGGCTGAAGTTGAGAGAGACCATAGCTTAATGAATAAGCAACAGTTTCAGTTTTGCAATGCTTTATCTATATGTAACAGGCAGCTATTCATGAGAAAGGAAGTTTAAGGCTTGTAGGTAAAAAACCACTACCCACGTTCCAGGAAAATGCCCGTTTACTGAAGTTTGTTTTTTTTTTTTTCTTTTTACAATATGTCTATAGTCAGATTAGCATTTAGGTCATACTCCAAAGAGTTTAAATTAATTAGTCTTATAAAAGCAAGTTTATTCCTCATGTATCAGCTTGACAGTTTTTGTCTGCATAGAATGGTATTTTGTTTTTCCATGATTATCTTTCAGCTACAGAGGAGATGTTTCCTTATGTAAATGAGCATTGCATAATCAAGTATAGATTTAAATAACTTAACTTTTTGAAAACTTGCTTACATATATAAATTTGTGTATATGTTAATTATATATGTATATACGCACAAATTATAGCCTGTCACCATGATTCTAAATGTAAGGTTTGTGAAGACTTTTCCATTCTCCATAGAATTTATAAAGCAAAATGACTCTGATGTTTCACAACTTCCTCTTTTGGTAGAGTGTCCTTTTGCAGAGAAAAAAAAAAATTGACTAAAGAGAGCTGAGTGGAGTCAGAGCCCTTCGAGATGCTGGTTAAGTCAACTATTTAAGCAGCTTAACAAGCAACTGAAAATAAGACATTGCGGTAAGAAGAAAGTGATCACTTGCTATTTTTCATTTTATTATTTGGATTACTGTTTGTGGAACAACAATTTAAATGTTGGTTGGATTATAAAATAGATTAGATAAGTCTAATAATTCTAAGTAAGTACTCAATATTTTAAATGAAGAGGTTTACTGCGTTTACTGTTTCAACTTCACATACAACCTTTTGAAAAGCTGGGGAATTTAAAAATTCTTATTGATCTCCAAATTATTTTAACTGAAAAGTAAAAAAAAATTCTCTTTTTTTCATAGTTTTGTACACAACTTAGTGCTGAAAGAACCTTTGTCGTAATACAAATTTTGAAAACTTTTTCTTCCCCTTGCTCCAGTAAATTCCTAACATGTGTAAGTTATCCTACCTATATTTGTTTGTTAATTTTGCATATTACTAGTTGGACATATTCTGGAAAAAAGATATTCTTGCGCTTGTTTCTACTTACTGTGAAAATATATATTATTTAAAGTCTTACATTTCAGTATTATTTTTCATATCATCACATTGTGATGATATTTAAATACTTTCAAAAAAGCAATTTGTAGTGTAGATAGTAGTATTTAAAAATGTAAATAAGGTAAGTAAATCAAATTTTAGAAATTTGTTTAAGATTAATTTGCAGTTGTAGTGCCCAAAACTGGAGCAAGACCTATAAAACCATTTGGATTCATAATTTGGGATCAAACTAAACTGAAACTAATTTCATTAGCCAACTCTAAAGTAATCTAAATCCAGCAGAATTATTTTTATTTGTGCCAAGCTAGAGTAATGTATGTACATATTAACTATTTAATAGAATTGTATTTCTCATACAGTAATTTTTAAATCATTTTTAAGCAAATAATATACCTGAATGCTTACTTAATTTGGTTTGTTTTTAATTAGAATAATCACATGGTTTCTGAAAAAGACAGTCTGCATTGTTCCATTAATTAACAGACTTAATTTTAATCAGTTTGGTTAAACAATGCCGTCACACTGGTTCTATTACATTATCTAGAAAATAGGGTGTTTTTAAAAAATTATTTTCATGCAATGTACTGTGACGGGAGTAGCTGTCTTTGGTTACAGAGAGAAGAAAAACAGATTGTTAGTGTTATAAATTCAGGCAATGAAGAGTTGACTCAAGTTTGACATTCTTAACTAGATCAACATTTTAAAATTAAGTTGATAGTTGTGAGGAATCCATTAAAATTGTGCCTATTCATCTTTATGTATCACACGCTAATTAAACACACCAGAACTTGATTATTGTTCTTTGCAACAACACCACTCATAATGTCCCTCTCTTTAAAAAAAAAATGCTGGAAGTATTTTGAAATGTCCAGAATTTTAAGGAAGAGATAGTTTGATATCATAAACTATCAAGTGCTGTGTGTTTGTCATACATAGTGTGGTATTACACGGAATAACTGATAACAACCAAGAAAAACGTGGCCCAAGGAAATTACAATCTAAATTGATCAACGCTGTAATTCAGAATGGCAAATGAAGGCCAAAGAAGTAGAGAAAATCCTGTCTTGCTGGCAAGATGGATGTGTTGTAGTTGTGGTGGTTGTGATTGTCATGAACTATTAAAGTCTCTGAATGAACAGCCTAGTTCTAGATTATGGAAAATAAATTTAGAATTTGTTCTATGACAAAATCATATTTACAGAAAAAAATTAGTGCTACCTGGTTGAGTTTCCTTGAGTCATGCGGATTGTTAAAGGGGGCTATCTTACCATTACTGGGAGAATAGCAAGATGCATTGCTTACGCTTTTCTTTCACGTAGTGTAATAAGAAAAAGCCTTTAGAATCCACCCCCAAATCCAAATTTTTTGAAGTGAAATTAGATATAATATTGTAAATAATTTATTGCTGGCATACATAAATATTTACTTTTGAACTATAGATGTATATTTTACTGTTTCATTAAGATTACATTCATGTGACACTAAGACATAAATTTTCATTGACTAATATAAGTTGAAACTGGGTGACTGCTGTATAGCATTGTGAAATTTTCTGTCTTAATAAGACATGGTTGACTCTGTGATGTGTGTGTGATCTTACTGGGCATCCGTCAGATTGTTGAAATCCAGGGGTGAGCCAACGAATCTCACAGTTTAGTGGGTGTCTGCCCCCTCCTTCACAGTGTGAACTTTCTAAAGCCGCCCACCTGTGCAAGAGAATGACCTGCTTCTAGAGGGCTCTATCCCACCTTGGCAAATATATTACCTCTCCAATAATAATTTCACTTTGAGACAATGATGCTATTTGTTCTTAACATAAATAACTGGAGGGGCGCCTGGGTGGCTCAGTCGTTAAGCGGCTGCCTTCGGCTCAGGTCATGATCCCAGGGTCCTGGGATCAAGCCCCGCATCGGGCTCCCTGCTCAGCAGGAAGCCTGCTTCTCCCTCTCCCACTCCCATTGCTTGTGTTCCTGCTCTCGCTGTCTCTGTCTCTGTCAAATAAATAAATAAAAAATCTTAAAAAAAAAAAACAAAAACATAAATAACTGGACTTCCAAAACAACTTTTCAAACATTGAAACACTTGTTTGTTTGGTTTCCCCTTCTTTCGGCCATTTTCTCATTTGCAAAAGTAGATGAGAGTTTGTTGCCCGAAAGAAAGATTGTGGTTTGGGTGCAGACTAAGAGGGATGGCGTGTTTTGAATTCAGAAACGAAAATCCTCTGAATCTGGATAATGTGTCTCTTCCAACCTTTTAAATGCAAATTTGTGTCCACTTAACAAACATTGATTTTCTATTTATTTTTAGTGGACATGACTTCCAAATAAGTGCCACATGTAACATATTCATATTTATTCTATTAATAAAAATATGTGTTCAATGGGAAAATTATTGTGTTCACAAAAATATGTGCTTTGGAAGTACATGTGCTCTGTAAGAGAGAACATGTATCTCATTTTCATACAGGAAATAATTTCTGCAAATATAAAGAATAAAGGCAAGTTCTTTTACATTTCTGAATATTTCCATTTAAAAAGATACATTTTATGCAGTGTAATGTACACATCTGTACCCTAGAAAATAAAAACACTGTTTAATTTTGAAATCTTTAAAATGTCAATTATTTGCTGTTTGAGAATTATTGTTTGCAATACTTACCTAACATCATTGATATTGTTATTATTTTATATGAACTAAAATTAGGCACTAATAGATTTGATGTTTTCTAAATACTTTCCAACTTTGTCTTTTCATTATTTTATATGTGTACAAAAATGGGTCTTAGTTTTTCAGTATTACTAAGGAAAAGAGCAAATTTGTAGTTTTATATCCAAATTGAAAGAAAAATGGCATTAACATCATTAATTCATATTGGAACCATGGAAAGTAAATCAGAAATGAAGTTAGCCTACTGGTTTTACTCCATGAGCTAGTGTAAAATGTCACAGCTCATTATTATTCTATTTTACAGATATCTCATTGTAAGTTCTCAGGTTTTTCAATAGTTGGTGGTTATCACAGTATCAAAACTCTTTTCACTTTGGAAACAAACACAAATAGTAATATGATTGTGAAAAAAATCACAGTTCTGATTCTGAAAAAAATAAAATTAGCAGCATTTTTCTTTAATCATACCTCAGTTCGATTTATTTTTGCTTTGCATAAGAAAAAAAAAATCGAAGCAGAATACTTTTATGTTTTTCCTGTGTTGGTGAACAGATCTGAATTAGAGAAGAGGCAGGAACATTCTGAAGGAAATTAGGCTGCCTTCTGAGTAAAAATCATATCTAATGCCATTGGAGTTTCTTAAATGCTCACTAGAAATGTTTATTATACTTCATCTACTTAAATTTTTTTTATTAAGAAATAATTTCAAGCTCAAAAGAATTGTAAAAATAAAAATAGTGTAATGAATACCTATATGCCCTTACCCAGATTTACCTAATCTTAACATTTTATTCTATTTGCTTTATAATTTGCTCTTATTCTTTCTCTATCTATATCTTTGTCTCCATTTTTTCTTTCTGAACCACTTGAGGGTAAGTTATAAAAAAACATGACCCTTGACTTCAGCTTGTACTTGCTAAAAATAGAGGTAGTCTCTTATGTAATGGTTACAATATCTACTTCATAAATTTACATCGATACTTTTATCTAATATTTGCCCATATTCCAATTTTGCTATTTATCTAACAATATCCTTTATAATATTTTCCCCTCCAGTAAAGGATCCAGTTTAGAGTCATGTGTTACATTTAGTTGCAATGTCTCTTTAGCCTCCATTAATCTGGAACATTTCCACATCATTTCTTTATCTTTTATAAAATTGAAAACCTTAAAGTCTATCCACCAACTCTTCTTCTTTTCTTTTTAACAGAGTGTTCCTCATTTGTATTTGTCTGACATTTCCTCATGATAAGATTGTGGTCATGCATTTTTTGCTATGATACTGAATAGGTGATGTCTCCCCTCATGCTATCATACCTAGAGCCACACGATGCTCATCTATGCCTCATTGGTAATGCTAATTTAGGTTGCCATGTCAAAGTGTTGCCCCATTTCTCCCTTTTATAATGACAGCCCCTCACGAAAAATTTCCCTTTGGGTTTAATATTAATTGATGTTCTCATCTGATGCAGTCTTTACTGTAATGCATCATAGTTATAAAATCATGATTCTCCAGCTCCAGCACTCTCTGTGTATTTCAGTCAGACTTTTGCATTCTAATGTAAGCAAAAGAACTCCCTTCTCTCCTGTATTTAATTACTAATTTATATATCTGTTACTGGTATAAAGTCACAAATCTCTGTCTTTCCGGTGGTTTATAATTCCTTGCTGCCTTAATTATTACGGTGCTCAAATTGTCAAATACCTGTTTGAGTTATTGGTTAAACTTTTATATTTATTTTATATCTATATTTATAACTTTATATTTCAATTCTGTTCGATCTACATTTAGTTTGAAGTTAATTATCCTCTTGGACATTCCAAAAGGTGGCAATGTCAGAAAAGAAAGTAGGTTATTGGGA